TATTAAACAGCAAAAACTGTTTTTAACATTCATAATAATAACCATTATGAATAATTGAGCACCAAATCAGTATATTAGAATGATTTCTGAAGGATTATGGGACACTGAAGACTGGAGTAATGATGCTGAACATTCAGCTTTCCCATCACAGGAATAAATTACATTTTAAAATATATTAAAATAGAAAACAGTTATTTTAAATGTTAATAATATTTCACAATATTAATGTATATATACTGTATATTGCACATTTTTACTGTATTTCATCAGATAAGTGCAGCAATATACCTTAGCAATATTATTTGTTTCCAAAAATATTGAAAGTATTTACTGTAACATACTTAAGACACTATTGGTTTATAAGAGCTTTATGCAAAACAATGACTTCAGGTGTGAAGGATATCAGGATAAAACTCATGTGTGCCCTTGACCGAGACACTAGGTTGGTGTAGGGGACTGTGGATGAAAAGTGTCTTTTGAATGAAAATAACCTGTTTTGAATTGGCAAGGATTATTACCATCAAGTGATACTTATATTTATTTCTTTTTCCCCATCATTTTGGCTTCAGAAAGCTGATGCCAGGGACTGTTAACAGTTGTCATGTTTCTATTCTCAGGGCCTGACTAGCAGCTGTCATGTTTATTAATTTACTGATTCATCCAGTTAACAGTCACTTCACAAGATGTGGACATACTGTACATCCCCCACATAACCTGTGGGCACATTATAAACTCTTGCATGATAAGCATATTGCACAATACTGTCATGTGTATTCTGTCTGGTTGTGCAGTGTGCCCTGTGATGTTCTGTGAATAGATTGCACCTTGTATTTAATTTTATCTCTGTTTTACCAGTGAAAATAACCTCTCCATCCTTAAAGCTCATTAAGTGTACCATACAAGTTTTGGACCAACCTGACCAATTGTTCTTTTTTTTTTGAGAGGGTAGCAGCTGTGTTAGTAGCTCATCTTCTTTATTTTTGAAGCTGCATCTTCATCTTGACATTTGGCAGTTAACTATAAAAATATCACCGCTTTTTTAAATTCTAGGCTGTGAAATGTGTGGATTAAGGCAAAAATACACTAAACAACCTTTCAAATTGGAACAGGTTTTTAAACACTATCCACCTTTTTCCTAATGAGCCTACTGCATTTTAATTCATGTGTGGCACTTCTGGTTTGGGGAAGTTCCACTCAAAAAGACAGAAACAAATCCCTTCAATCATAATGTTGCGTTGCAAATAATCGTTATCGGTCAGTTTGAATGAATGAGCTATACAGGTTCCATCATGTTCTGTTTTCAGATAACGTAACGCTTGGTGTTTTAATGTGACATGGTATAACAAGAATATCTATGGTAAGAGCTCTTTTCAATTAGCTGCATTCTTTTCCTCATTATTAAGTTGGCTTGAAAAAGCCAACTTACTGATCTGCTTCTTCTGAGCCAAAATTTAGTCAGTATCTCCTCCTAGAGTTTTACAGCTACAACCACCAAACTCGGGTCAGATCTTCAGACTGTTCTGAAGTTAGTTTAGGGTGACCATACGTGCCATTTTCCCAGGAACCCGTGTCCGGCACGCGTCCTGGGAAAATGGCACGTATGGTCACCCTAAGTTAGTTGCTGTGACTTTTCTAACTGATCCGACTTACCGTTTTCATAAACATGAAGATTAAAAATAATAAAATCCCATTACATTGACGGAATGTTCAAATTCAAATTTAAAAGCATGTAAGCAGCATGCTAATCATGCTAGAAACGTGCTAGCAACATGATAACATGTTAACCCTTAAATGCATACCTCGGGTCTTTAGCGACCCGGGACATCATTCTCTACCCTCTCCCTCCTTCATTTTTTAAAGTTAAACATCAACTTTCTTAGTATTCCTCAATCTATTAATTATAAACACTATAAGAAGAAACAAATAGTAAAATATAAAAGGATGCCCGTTTTCTGATTAATTTTTTGTAAAAAGTGTATAGGGTCGCTAGAGACCCGAGGTATGTAAATGTGTAAATATTTTTTTCTACGCAACTATATTTACATATCTGATGACTCAATACGTGCAATGCATCTTTTTTTCCTCAAGGTGGCACTGTTTGATACACAATGATGACGTGACGTTTCACTGATAATTACGGCAGGCATAAAACAAACGAATATCATCAGCAAAAATTGAAGTGGTTTGAATGGCTTTACTGCAGAGCAATTACTATATGCAATGAAATATAAATGTCACTGCCGTTTGATGCTGGATTTGGTGAATAAGCTGCCAGTGATCAAAATATTGAATATCAAGTCATTGAAAACGATAGTTTTGAGAATATGGTTGAGATCGTGTATATGAGGCAGATGTTGAATATACTGTGGAAGTGCGTTCTGACGATGACAGCGATGGTAAAAATAATCTGCTAAAATTGAACCCTTTTAAGTTTCAAAAGGTAACGTGCTTTAATTTTATCTTCTGTAATTGTTCTTAAAATATCAAGAGATTTTTTTGCTATTGCAGCAGTTAGAGATCCATCCGTGCTGGATATTTAGGTCCATGTCGCTAAAGACCCGAATATGTAAGAATGATTGGCGAAACATTCATGCATTTAAGGGTTAATCATGTTAAAAACATGCTAGAATCATGTTAATCGTGCTAGAAAAAGGCTAGCAACATGCTAATCATGCTAGAAACATGTTAGCAACATGTTAATCATGTTAAAAATCATGTTAATCATGTTAGAAACATGCTAGCAATATACTAACCATACTAGCAACATGGTAATCATGTTAAAAAAAATTAAACATGCTAGCAACATGCTAATCATGTTAGAAACATGCTAACAACATGCTAATCATACTAGAAACATGATAGCAACATGTTAATCATGTTAAAAACCATGCTAAACTTGTTAGCAACATGATAACATGCTATAAACATGGTAACAACATTAGCAACATGTTAATCATGCTAGAAACATGCTAGCTACATGCTGGTCATGCTAACAACATGCTAATCATGCTATAAACATGCTAGCAACATGCTAATCTTTCTAGAAACATGCTAGCAACATGCTAATCTTTCTAGAAACATGCTATCTAAACAAGCTACAAACATCTATTTAATCCATCTAGCTAAACATTCAAACCTCAAGCTTTTACTACTGCTTCAAATTTTCAGTCAAGGCTTTTTCAAGTCAACTTCAAAGTTTGCGAACTGTACTCATCTAGTTATTTTAATTTTTCCTTTGTATTCCGCTGTTACTGTATGAAAAAGACAACTAATACTATGTGTTTGTGGTCTTCTCTCCCGTATATAAAACATATAATAATTCACTGGAATGCACTATAAGAATCTTATCGTTTTTTCTCCCCAACTCTTCATGTCTCTTTCCAGGTTTGTTTCCACACGGATGCTTTAAAATGTAATTGTCTCTGCTTTTCACTTCTAATTCCTATTAGCAGGGTTTACTGGGATGTTTGTAAAGCAGGTAAATCCAATATTTGCTATCTATCAAAATGATGGAAATCACTTTGAAATATCACAGTCTGAAATATTATCACTTAATATGTTATTATTAACATTAACATGTTAATGTTAATGAACAAATTTGATTAAGTCATCGTATGTTACATAAAATAGACAAATAGTACTGCAGTGATATTTAATATGTCTGTATTATTGCTGCGGAAATAATTGAGCGTTTGATGAAAATCATAGACTGAAGTAAAAAATCAGAGTCTGTGTCCATCATAGACTGCGATTTTCTCTGAAATCTGTCAACTCCAACAGTCCAAAATCTGCAGACTGGCTCTGACTTTCAACAGTTAGTGTTGACTCGTCCAGGCTGCAAATCAGGGAGGAAATCTGTGAATTCTAGTGTGCTCCAGCCTTTAGGGTGGTCCAAAACCATATGGTTTTCTTTCTTAGAGCACAAAAGGAGATCGTTCCTTCCCATAGAATTGAAACGAAAGGGGACTGAAGCTTTCTAAACGGATGCAACAGCACCTAAGAAGTCATTCACAAAATGTGTGCGTTATTTTCTAAGTCTTCAGAAGTCATATAATAGCTGTTTGTGAGGGACAGACAGAAATCACTGAAAGTCTTATTTGGAGCCTCACTAAACTCACAAATCCACTTGGGGAAGAGCTGAAGATTATCAACGAATAACAACTTAAAGTTCTGTCTGTTCCTCACAAAAAGGCTTCAGAAGACAGAATATAGTGCACAAATCATAGGGACCACATTTATGACTTTTAGAAGCTTTAAAGCTGTAGTCCCCATTCATTGTAAGTTTGTGGAGAACTTAGCAACCAGCAGAATTTAAAAAAAAAAATCTCCTTTTGAGTTCCACTGAAGAGATAAAATCATACAGGTTTGAACAGTGAGGAATTCGAATGATGTACATAAATATGAAGAGAATTTATTTTATTTAATTGGTGAAGCTGAAGTAGAGTACATTGGACTGATTGCTGATTGTGACTCTGCTGCCCCCTTTAGTCATGTCTGTGGCACTACACACTTGACATGAGGCAATATGGAGCTTAAAGGGATAGTTCACCCAAAAATGAAAATTTGATGTTTATCTGCTTACCCACAGGGCATCCAAGATGTAGGTGACTTTGTTTCTTCAGTAGAACACAAACAAAGATTTTCTACTCAAACCGTTGCAGTCTATCAGTCGTATAATGCATGGCAATGGTAACAAAATCTACGAGAGTAAAAAAAACATGCACAGACAAATCCAAATTAAACCCTGCGGCTCGTGACGACACATTGATGTCCTAAGACACGAAACGATCGGTTTGTGCCAGAAACCGAACAGTATTTATATAATTATTTACCTCTAATACACCACTATGTCCAACTGTGTGTACGCGCTCCGGCGACATCAAATTTTCATTTTTGGGTGAACTATCCCTTTAAGCATCACTTCATGAGAGCAAAAGCACATTTGTTTGACTTAATGAGGTTTTGTGCGTGTGTGATTTGTTGCTCTTGTTAACCTGTAGGTCAAGGAAGCCATGCAGAGAATCCATGACAGAGGAAACATAGGGAAGCTGATTTTGGACGTGGAAAAGTCTCCCACGCCTTTGGTGAGTGAGTCATCCTAAAACCTGCCTTTGAATTAGACCCGTGTTCTAAGGCGAGCAAAACATTATGTGCACAACATTATAATTATTATGTCAACCATTGGTGCTGCCCTTTCATTTTTCTGTTTTCGTAATGTCTTGCATTGTTCAGTTTTCTAACATCATTTTTTATATTCAGCTTATCCAAAAGTGTGTGAGAGAAAATAAATGATCTTTTTATGAAGCACAAAGGCAGATCTGAATAATGCACCTGTTTACTTGAAAAAGGAACAAAAAATGGTATTATGACAGTGATCCAAGAGTCAGGCGACATCACCTCAGCAGTTTCCATGGAGACTGCGCCTTATGACGCTGTTCTCAGTGGAGACAATCTGGCCTACAACAGCATGCTTTCATGAAATCTACCTTTAGTGTCTTCACTTAAACCTGGGAAGTTCTTAAAGGAGCAACGGAATAAGAACATCTGAAAAATTGTTTTCCATTTTTCTCCCTTCCCAGAAGGTTTTATTGTGTAGATGTTGATCTTTTAGCTCAGAAGCCTTGATCTACTGTGTCTTAGATGTTTCTCCTCAAATATGGAAGATTTTTGAAGGAACAACTGATAATGTCTAAACTGTTGCTCATAGCTCAGGACCCTTAAGAGATAGTTTAACTAAAAATGAACATTCTGTCATAATTTACTCATCATTTACTTCCTTCTGTGGAACACTAAAGAAGATATTTTGAAGAACACTGAAGTCTAAACAACATCAGTGTTATTTTAGCATAACTGAGATTCTATTATAGTTTTTATCAGTAGTTTGTATTAGTTTTTAGTTTTATATTTTTCTCTTTTTTTGTTAAAAGTTTTAGTAATTTTGCAGTGTATTTTTGTCTATCTTTTTATTAACTTTATTTAAGTTTAATTTTGGTTATTTTAGTACATAAAATTCTTATTTACTAAAAGAAAATGAGAAATGTTTCCTTGGCAACTAGCTGAAATAAAATTTGTGTTTGTATATATATATATATATATATATATATATAAGAAGTCATACAGGTTTGAAACTGCATGAGAGTGAGTAAATATAGCTGTTGTAGTTGTCAGCTATGTTTTTCTCTCTCTCTCTCCCCCTCTCTTTATGTTTGTAATATACTATATATCTTATAGTTATAATATATGTATATCATTTGAGAAGTATTCTATGTTTGAGTTCAAACTGAGATCTTTGACATCTGATTACAGCAATCTGTGCGCAATTGTTGAGATCTTCTCTGAAATGCAAGAGGAGACGCATGTTTAAGAGATTACCTGCACCTCAGATGATTCTGAGAAACAGGAGACTGTCGATCCGTGTGAAAACACAATGATTTTTGATTTCTCTTTCAGATGGCCAACGACAGCACAGAGACCAGTGAAGCAGGTGAGGAGGAAGAGGAGCAAGAGGCAGACAATGACAAGAAAGAGCGAATGCCCTTCATTCAGTGAAGCCAGACTCAACCAGAGACTATCACGAACCTGAGCTGAGCTCCGTGTCATGTGTGTGTGATGTGTTCGGTCTGTTGTTTGTCTGTATCTTTGCCAGTTTTGGTCAATGCAGTCAAAAATACCCCAAAACACTAAGTGTGTTGTTAAATGTTTGACTGAAGTGCCATTCTTAGTGCAGTGTTGAATTGTTACAGTGTTTTAGACCAAAACGTTATTGTAGGATTGACTTTTCGTGGAAGCTTTTTGCAGCCTTTCGGATGTTTTATTTGTCCCCGTCAGTCAGTGGATTGACAGATGACTGCAGTCAACGTCCAAAATTAACACTTGCCAAGAGACAAATGGAAGTCAAAATTGGTTTTGGCAAGTAAATTAAACGCAGCAGTGGCTGGAAACTCTATAAGGAACTGCAAGTAGGATATATAAGTAACTTTAAGTCTTCAGATGTCTTTTAATGACTTTTACCTCAAGTGGGCAATTTACCATCAAACGTTTATCAATTAAAAGTGTTTTGTTTCTCCAGAACTCCATGCCATGGTGCATATGTGAAATATTCCTCATAATAAAAAAAATATTCACTACCAAAAATGAAAATGGTCATCATTATGTTGTGTGTGTGTGTGTGTGTGTGTGTGTGTGTGTGTGTATATATATATATATATATATATATATATATAAGAAGTCATACAGGTTTGAAACTGCATGAGAGTGAGTAAATATAGCTGTTGTAGTTGTCAGCTATGTTTTTCTCTCTCTCTCTCCCCCTCTCTTTATGTTTGTAATATACTATATATCTTATAGTTATAATATATGTATATCATTTGAGAAGTATTCTATGTTTGAGTTCAAACTGAGATCTTTGACATCTGATTACAGCAATCTGTGCGCAATTGTTGAGATCTTCTCTGAAATGCAAGAGGAGACGCATGTTTAAGAGATTACCTGCACCTCAGATGATTCTGAGAAACAGGAGACTGTCGATCCGTGTGAAAACACAATGATTTTTGATTTCTCTTTCAGATGGCCAACGACAGCACAGAGACCAGTGAAGCAGGTGAGGAGGAAGAGGAGCAAGAGGCAGACAATGACAAGAAAGAGCGAATGCCCTTCATTCAGTGAAGCCAGACTCAACCAGAGACTATCACGAACCTGAGCTGAGCTCCGTGTCATGTGTGTGTGATGTGTTCGGTCTGTTGTTTGTCTGTATCTTTGCCAGTTTTGGTCAATGCAGTCAAAAATACCCCAAAACACTAAGTGTGTTGTTAAATGTTTGACTGAAGTGCCATTCTTAGTGCAGTGTTGAATTGTTACAGTGTTTTAGACCAAAATGTTATTGTAGTATTGACTTTTCGTGGAAGCTTTTTGCAGCCTTTCGGATGTTTTATTTGTCCCCGTCAGTCAGTGGATTGACAGATGACTGCAGTCAACGTCCAAAATTAACACTTGCCAAGAGACAAATGGAAGTCAAAATTGGTTTTGGCAAGTAAATTAAACGCAGCAGTGGCTGGAAACTCTATAAGGAACTGCAAGTAGGATATATAAGTAACTTTAAGTCTTCAGATGTCTTTTAATGACTTTTACCTCAAGTGGGCAATTTACCATCAAACGTTTATCAATTAAAAGTGTTTTGTTTCTCCAGAACTCCATGCCATGGTGCATATGTGAAATATTCCTCATAATAAAAAAAATATTCACTACCAAAAATGAAAATGGTCATCATTTATTCACCCTCATGTCATTCCAAACCTGAGTTACTTTTTCTTCTGCTGATTTTCTGAAAAATGCTGGTATGGATGTCTGATGAAGGCCTTGAAGTTGGCAGAAACAAACATCTCTGTTTTTAAAGAAATAAAGTCTATGTTTGCAGAGTGAGTGTTGCACTTTTCTTCTAAAGTTTGAGATCTGGATTTTTTGGTCGAGTTAGTCGAGCATCTGCATTTTATTTGTCTATTTTGAAGCATGTGTTGGTAACCACTGACTTCTATTGCATTGGCAAAAATCCCTGAGACATTTTAGAAATATAATTTTTTATGTTCCACAGAAGAAAGAAAGTCATACAGGTTTGGAATGACAGGAGAATGAGTAAATGATGACAGAATTTAAGTTGTTGGTGAACTATCCATTTAAGATTAGTGGATAGCATTTGTGGCATGATTATAACAAAAAAATAAAATGAAAAGGAAGGACACAGTAAAGCACTTACAGTGGAAGTCAATAGGGCATGTTTTAGGGACATTTAAAAGCAGAAACATGAAGCTTATAATTTGCACTTACATTAACATCTGCTATTCAAGCTGTTAAACTGTTTACATTTTCAGTCATTATAGGGTTTCAGGTGTTACGTTGTCATGACAACAAAGTTGAACTGAATTTAACCTCGCTTAAAGTGACTTGTTCACACTAAAATCATGTTAACACACATATTTATTACATCTTGTCGCTATACTCTTGAAGCAGCATTATAAAATGTATAGATTGGCACCATTCACTTCCATTGTAAGTGTCTCACCCCAACCATTTTGTAAAGAAAAAGAAGGTCAAGTGGAAATACATTTTTGTGTTAATCAACATTAAGTGCTGTAGATTGAGCTTAACTTGTACTGAACCTGGAATGCATTTTTGCATGGAATGCAAAAGCGCATCGATTCGCTACAGAAGGCCTTTGTTCACCCCCCGGAGCCGTGTGAGACACTTTTTTTATGGAAGAGAGCTTTTTATTTTTATTAAGTTTTGAATATGGATAGTTTTCTTACAAAAACGCATCGATTCGCTACAGGAGGCCTTTGCTCACCCCCTGGAGCCGTGTGAGACACTTTTATTATGGAAAGGTGCTTTTTATTTAACATCTTTTGAACTGAAGCAATGCAACACCCGCTGAGTTCAACGATAGAGCTTGAAAGATCAAAGACAATTTTTAATATAACTCCGACTGGATTCGTCTGAAAGAAGAAAGTCATATACACCTAGGATGCCTCGGGGGTGAGTAAAACGCAGCCTAATTTTCATTTTTGGGTGAACTAACCCTTTAAGTGTCAATTTTTCGAAATTGAGATTTATACAAAATCCGAAAACTGAATAAATAAGCTTTCCATTGATGTATGGTTTGTTATGATAGGACAATATTTGGCCGAGATACAACTATTTGAATATCTGGAATCTGAGGTTGCAAAAAAATCAAAATATTGAGAAAATTGCCTTTTAAGTTGTCCAAATAAAGTCCTTAGCAATGCATATTATTAATCAAAATTGAAGTTTTGATATATTTACGGTAGGAAATTTACAAAATATCTTCATGGAACATGATCTTTACTTAATATCCTAATGATTTTTGACATAAAAGAAAAATCGATCATTTTGACCCATACAATGTATTTTTGGCTATTGCTACAATTATAATCGTGCAACTTAAGTTTTGTGGTCCAGGGTCACATTTGTAATGTAGCCCCTACAGTAGTGTGCATCCTCCTTAAAGAAAGAGTTCACCTTAAAATTGAAATTCTGTCATCACTTACTCACCCTCATGTCATTCCAGATCCGTAAGACTTTCTTTCTTCTATGGAACAGAAATGGAGATATTTCGCCGATTGTTCATGCTGCCTTTTTCTATACAGTGGAACGGGGGTGAGTAAACAGTGGCACAAATTCTTTTGTCTTGGATGAACTATCCCAGCAAATCACCAGTAAATGTTCTGATGTTATGGTCAAAGTCAAGCATCATTTTTATAATTTCAAACTAGTAACCAACAACAACAAACAAACAAATAAATAAAATACTTCTTAGTGCCTTTTGTTGCATATCTGCACTGAGGACCAGAAGGCTTGTCAGTGTTTGTTTTTCTTTTTGTATTTGGAGAATAGACACTTTGATGTCAAAGATATTCAATGATTTAAAATCTTTCTGGCCTACCTATACCTCACAAATGAAAATTGTGGTTGTGTTCTTGAGTTTTATTAGTTGTGTTTATGTGATGGTGCTTGTGCATGCTATATTTCTCCCACAAATTATTGTTTTTATTAATATCTTCCTAAATAATTAAACTAATTGGCTTTATAGAGAATATATACAAAAACAGCCAGTCTGATTGTAATTGATCGTGGCTTGTGCTCATCCTTTTTGAGCTGTGTTTCTTTACATTAAAAGAATAGTTTACCAAAAAAAATAAAAATTTGCTGATAACTCACCCTCCAAGCTGTAGATGAGTTTGTTTCTTCATTAGAACAGATTTGGAGAAATTTAGCATTACATCACTTGCTCACCAATAGATCCTCTGCAGTGAATGGGTGCCGTCAGAATGAGAGTTCAAACAGCTGATAAAAACATCACAATAATTCTCAAGTAATCCACACGACTCCACTCTATCAGTTAACATCTTGTGAAGTGAAAAGCTGGGTGTTTGTAAGAAATAAAATTGTCTTTTTAACTTTAAACCACCACCATTGGCCAAAATACTGAACAATACAAAATTGCTGACTTTTTCACTGGAGAAAGCAATATCATGGATAGAGGACTCGTACTTTAGTCGGAAACACCTTAAAGGGATAGTCCAACCAAAAATGAAAATTCTGTCATCATTTACTCACCCTCATGTCGTTCCAAACATGTATGAGTTGCTTTCTTATGTTGAACACAAAAGAAGATATTTTGAAGATTGCTGGTAATCAAACAGTTAGTGGTTGCCATTGACTTCCATAGTATTTTTTTTTTCCTACTATGGAAGTCAATGGACATTTTGGGAACGACATGAGGGTGAGTAAATGATGACAGAATTTTCATTTTTGGGTGAACTATGCCTTTAATGGTTTAATGATGAATTTGTTTATTACAAACATGCAGCTTTTCACTTTATAAGGCATTAGTTAATGGACTGGACTCGTGTGGATTACTTGTGGATTATTGTGATGTTTTTATCAGGACTCTAATTCTGACGGCACCCATTCACTGCAGAGGATCCACTGATGAGCAAGTGATGTAATGCTACATTTTACCAAATCTGTTACGATGAAGTAATAAACTCATCTGCATCTCGTATAGTCTGAGGGTGAGTACATTTTCAGCTAATTTTCATTTTGGGGTGAACTATTCCTTTAAGCAAGAATGGAATGACTCACACATGAGCAAAAATGACTGATATTCACCCTCTTTCTAATTAGGTCCACCGCCTTTTTTGAGATTTCTTTAAAGACTTGCCTTAATGTTAAAGCACTACATTTCTGAAGTGTTAGTAGATCCCAGCTCAAGACACACAAAAGCATATTGTTGCTGTGTAGTTTTAGTTTGTAGATGTGCTTTTATGTTGTGGTAGATTGCAAACACGTGAAATCTGAATAAAATGTTGTGCAGAGCATTTCTGTGGAGTGTGATTTGGTCTTTATGCCATTAAAATGCTGTTATGCACATGAACCTAATAACATTTCTCAAGGCTCCTATCTGATTTTTTGCAGCAGAAGTGGTAACACTGATTGAAGCATGACAGACACAAATGTTGGATTTTTTACTCAGCAACCCCATGGTTACTCTCACAAATGGCACTGTGGACATTAGCAAAGCTTCACTTTGCTCTTTTCACTTGAAAATATTGCGGTCAGTGGCCTTTTCAAGGTTTTGTTATTCAAAAATCTAAAATATGACTGTGATAAAAATGTGTTTGACCTTTCCCATGGATTTCTGACTGCACTGCAGTAATGGAAATATTTGCCAGAATAATTACGTTTTTCCACGTATACTGATTTATCTGAAAAAGTACTTTTGACAACCAGTGAACAACTATCTATAAGATTACCTGCCCCAAAATGAACATTTTGAAGAATTTCTGGGATTGAAGCTTTTAAGCTGCAAAAAGGTAAAAATAAAATAAAATCAAGTATTATTTATGTATCATAATTTAGCAATATGTATTATATTTTTTAATTTGAATTTATTTTATTTTATGCGAGGAGCTGTTGAAATTTGGTAACTCTTTACAGTAAGGTTCTATTTGTTAAAATAAACTACATAGCTAACATGAAATAACAATAAAAAATACTTGTAAGGCATTTATTAATCTTAGTTAATGTTCATTCCATCATTTACTAAAACATTATTAAAATCAAATGTCAGCTAACAACAGCAATAAACAGTTAACTAGCGTTAACAAAGAATTAATACATTATGGAACAAATGTATTGCTCATTGTTAGTTCATATTAGTTAACGCATTAACATCAGTAACTAATGGGCCCTTATTGTGAAGTGTTACCTGAAATTTAAATGATTATTGACTGAAAATGTAACTCCTTAGCATAAGAGTTCACGAAAGAAATACTGATATTTGTACTGATATTTATGAATGATTTTTTTCTTTAAATCTAATCATTTCAATTAACAAGTTAATATTTTTTTATAAGTTTGTGTCCTTTCTGTAGCTTGAAAGCTTCAGTTCCTATTTTTTGTTATTGCATGGAAAATTCATGCAGTACATTGAAAATGTTAATATTATTCGTGATATATCTTCATGAAATGTACAGATGTATGTCAAAATCTTTTCCTTTTATAAAAAGAGGAGTCTAAATGATCTGCAGAGCACATGTCATGTGTTTCAAAGACACGCAGTAAAAGATATTCCCTCTGGACTGTTTGCTCTTTTTTGCACTCATCTCTCCACTCCATCCATCTCACAGCATCACGCTCTAAAATTAGCTGAGAACACTGAGCTCTGAACAGGACTTCCTTCCCTGATCAACAGCCCCTCTGTCTCCAACTCCAACTAAATCAATGTGCAGCTATTCATATCCTCAAGACATGTTTATGAACAACAGAGTTAGGCAACCAATTTGTTTAATACTTGGTGTAATTGATCTTTATGATTTAAAATATATGGATCTTTAATTTAGATTAAATTAAAGGGGTCATATGATGCGATTTTAAGTTTTCCTTTCTCTTTGGAGTGTTACAAGCTGTTTGTGAATAGATAAGATCCCTTGAGTTGCAAAGACTAAAGCCTCAAACCCAAAGAGATATTCTTTATAAAAGTTAAGACTGGTCCACGCCCTCCTAAAACGGCTCGTTCTAACACGCCCCCACATGTCTACGTCACGATGTGGGAAGATTTGCATAACGCCGCCCAAATGTTCACGCAAAGAATGAAGGCGTAACTTTATTGTTGCTGCCACTGCCACCGCCATGTTGTGAAGACGCTGTGTGTTTCATTGCGAAAGCGAAAATACTTTGTTTGGCCTTCCAAATGAGGACACGACTAGAAATTTGTGCGCTTGCGCGTGCCTCAAAAGGGGGCTTATAATGAATTGCAAAGATACATAACAGCTACAAGTGTATGCACTACTTGCTTTATGCAAGCACTATATAGGATAAATCACTATACAGGATTTACCCTATTATACTTTATCGACACGAATTGATAAGTGAAACAACAAACAGCCACCCACAAATAGTCTATAAACAAAGCATCAGGCTGTCTGAGTTCATATGAACAAAGGTTAAAGTTACTTGTCGTCAGGCTACAGAAGAATACCATAATTCCTCCGTTCAATTAACACATCGAGAGTCATGCAGACCTATAACAACCCAGCCACAACACATAATTGCGAATAACATGCCTTACCTTAACACAGAATCGACAACAGAGTCCAACGTTTATATTTTGGGGCAATATTTTGGGTTAACATGTACTAAACATGAGTGGAATTTGCACCGCAGCGCCCCCACACCTTGATGCTCATGACAAGAATAGCATGTATAGGCCTAGTTATCTTAATTGAAGTGAATTAGGTTTAAATCGCCGTCATGCATGAATGAATGA